TATATATATATATATATATATATATACACACACACACACAATGTATGTGTGTGTATGTGTGTGTGCGTTTTTGTGACAAATGAGGACATAAATTTGTATAATGACAAGGGTATGACATAGGTATTACAAGGAGAAGGTGACTTTTCAGGATATTATCCCATGTCCCCACTTTTCAAAACGCATGTAAATCACACAGAATGGAGTGTATTGAAAGTCTGAAATAGCACAAAGTTTCCTGTGAGGGGTAGGTTTAGGGGTAGGGTTGGTGTAGGGCAATAGAATATACGGTCTGTACAGTATAAAAACCATTACGCCTATGGGATGTCCCCACTTTTCACAAAAACAAACCTGTGTGTGTGTGTGTGTGTGTGTGTGTGTGTGTGAATGTTACTGGTTTCTTGTCCATATGCTTGAATCAGAAGCACACTGGGACAGATCACTGCCGTGTGAAAACACTCTTGAAGTGTTGAATGATCAGCAGTGTTGTGTTCTCCCATCAGAAGAAAGCCTCTCTCTCTCTCTCTCTAATGAGAGAGTAAAGTGAAAGTGAATACAGCTGCCCAAATAGTATTTTGACACTTGTACATGTGTAAGTATGATTCTGTGTCTGCATGTGTCATGTAATGTTTTTCTTCATTACATATATCACCATCATCCATTAACTAAGCACAAACACACACAGTACTGTCTGTCTTCATCTTCAGCACTGCATCTGTTATCGTCAAATGTCTGTCTGTGTTTTGACTGTAAAGTGTGTTTGTGCATCTTTCTTTTCTATCAGTGACTGGCTTTGATATTTTGTATCTAATGCAACTACATTCACACGTTTAAAGTGTGAATTAATTATTAGAATTTTGGGGTCACTGTAGATACAAAAGCACAAACACTGCAGTCTGATGGAGTTGAAACTGTTGGCATGACAACAGTGTCTCATCTGTTTGTCTGAGTAATCTGGTCTGTGTTCAGTGTGAGTTACAGGGTTAAAGCTCTGTTACTCAACACTGCCATCCGCTGGAGCCTTTCCTGCAGTTTTCCTTCGGTTGGGCTTGAAGAATCGCTGTCTGATTTTCTTCCCAACCACTGTGCTGTGACAGGTTGTCGGGTGTCAAAACTTTCTATCTCCATTATATTTCGTTATTATTAATTTAAATCAGTGCTATTGGTCATACTTATGTCTGTTTGTGGGTTTTACAAATATTTAACAAAAGATCTTGTGAGTAAACCTCGTCACTGCACTTGCCTCACAGTCTGGAGACAGATCTCTGCTCGTTCGCAGTGCAAGGGTAAATAAAGGACTGATGTTTGAATAAGAACAGGGTTTTCTTTACTCTAGAAACACTGTGACTATAAAGGCTAATGTTGTTGTGTGTTTGAAGAGCGGAGAAGAGTTAGAGTTGGTCTCTAGCTGCAGCCAATATACTTGTAGATTTTAAATATCCTGTGAATAGCAGTTCGTCTTTTAGCATCTGATTATAACTGAAGGTGGATGTGATCGCTGCAGAACTCTACAGTAATCAGTGAGGACGCTCTGGTTCAGTGTGAGGACTTCATTATCCACAGCTGAAGGCAGTAGCTTTGCTCACAGAGTCCTGGCTGTGACGCTCAAGTACGGTTGGCCTACAAAAATACACCATCACTGAGGCGCTCTGTACGAACATCTGGAGCGATCTAAATACACTGGTAGAAATAAAGGACATTGACGGTTTCATGAAGAACCTTTAACATCCATGGAAGCATTTCACTGGACAGAAGCTTCTTAAACAGTTCTTCAGATGAATAAAATGTTCTTCACAATGCTTATTTCAAGAACAGTTCTTTGGGGAACCAAAATGATTCTTTGACGGCATCACGGGCGAAATAATGAATAAAACCAATAACACAAACATTTCATTAATAAAACCAATAATGTTTTATTTATTGTAGTTCAAAATTATATTTATACCAATTGTGTAGTACATACAAAAAATATATATATAGAAGCTAGAAGTCGTGCAGGTCATGAGGTCAAGGTCATTCAAATGAAGCTGCAGTAGCATCACGTATCCATTGTGAAGTTTTTGTTATTTGATGATTTTCAGAAGCACTTTATTTTACAGTCCTGTTCTGCACGTACATACTGTGTATTGTAATAATAACCCGGTAATAACTAGATACTAACATTCTTTTGGCAAGTACATGGTAAGTGTGTGCACATACTATCAAATAAAGTGCCAGCCTATTTTCTTAAGTGCAACCGATGGTATATTTTGCTTTTCTTGTTATTCAGTAACTGTGCTTTTCAAATGTTACAATCACAAATAGATGGACGAAAAGTTTTCAATCAATACGTCAAGAACTTAAGTCAATAATTTGGTGTTTAGCTGAGGCCTGGAGTTATTTGACATGCATAATTACCCTGAGTAAATCACTGCTGACGCCTGCCATGAAAACCAACCCACAATTATATTACAGTGTGTGTGTGTGTGTGAGAGTGTGTGTGTGTGTGTGTGTGTGTGAGTGTGTGTGCGCGCGTGTATGTGTGTGTGTGTGTGTGTGTGTGTGTGTGCAGCAAAACCTTTTCTGGTTTGGTGTACAACAATGATTTACATGAACAGTATAATTTTAAAAAATAAAATACAAAAGGACCATGTAAAAAAAGTAAACAAAAGACACAATCCTCTCAAAAACATGGAAATGGTTTAAAAAAAGAGAGAGAATTTAATAAACCAACGAATTTAAAAGACAGACACCTCTTTGCATATATTGCTGCTAAGGTTCAGATAAAGGTTGTTTTTTTCTGTGAAATGTGTTTGTGTCGTACTGAAATGAGTCAAATACATGCTTTGGAAGCTGCTGGTTAAGATTTCATACAAATCAATAATTCATCTCTGTTCAACAATCATATTGTCAAGGCACTAATAATGCTTGTTGCAAAACATCTGTGAAACACAAGATATAAAACTCAAAAAACAACAACAACAACAGAAGAACAAGGAAGAGTCCTGGGATATAGATGAAGTATGAGCACTTGGTGGTCCTCATTCCTGTGACTGTGGACAGACCCGCGTCTCTCTTTATTCCCTTTCGATCCTCTGATATTTCCAGAATCATGTTAATTGAGGTAGATCACAGGAGCAGATGAACACTCCTATGGATCAATCTGCAGACCGATCATGTGAGATACAGCGGGACGTTTACATCCAACGACCAGATTCACCTCCAAACACTGTATCACTGTATCAAATTCATTCGCTTAATTATTAACGGCTTGGCATATGTGCTTGTTCAGTCAAGGCCTCAGTGGCAGTAAATGTGAACATGACACGATCGACGACGGTCGCAACTAAAGCTGAGCTCACTCTGGCTCGATCTAACCAACCAACGCGACACATTCTTTAAAACAGTAAACAATCCCAGTTCATGTCAAACACTGATGTCTGCGCTGATGCGGCTGGAACTCATGAAAATCATCCTGTAAACGTTCCTCGTCAAACAGAGACACCATAAAACACACCGCTCAATACTACTCTCACTGAGAACACTGGCACAGCATCGACTGCTCTACACATTAAAGCAGCATTAATGTTTCCTCAGCTGCTACTTCTCAGTCACAATACATCTTAGATAATTGCATATGTCGCCATGCAGTGACGTTTCCTCTAATTATCACTCGTGGCTAAAATGTGCATTTGCAAAAACGTGTTTGGAATTTTCCAAGCTCAGGAGGAAATGAATACATCGTTCCCCTTTAAAACAATCATACGAGTGACTTCATATAGTCTGACATAAAACAATTCATAGCTAGATTCTAAGAGTGAAGCAAACATAAGCTGGTTAAAATAAAATCCCATGCATCTTCTCTCAGGGCTTCACCAGCAAACATCTTCCCTTCTTATCCAATGATTGTCTAACCTTTCCCTTTTAAAGCCTAGAAACTCAGTACAAAAATATTCAAGGAAACGTTCTGAAAGATGCATAGCTCAAAAATCACATTTGCGGAGAAGCCCTGTTTTATGCCTGTTCCGCATGTTCCTGCAGGGATAGAACACACACACACACACGTCAGTCTCTCCACTGTAAACCTTCACGGCTCTCAGATGACGGACTCGGGGTCCTCAGCCTTCACCTCTCCGTCTGCACCGTCCCACGCGCCGCTCTTGCTCTCCAGCATCTTCTCGGTGGTGTCTGCCGCTGTCTGCGCCTCCTTCCTCTTCCTCCGCGCCTCCACCCACGGGATCAGACACAGCACGGCCCCCCCGATGATCGGAGGAATGCCTGCCAGGTAAAACGCCACGTCATAGCTGCCCAAACGGTCTCTGAGGAACCCTGTGTACAGAAACAGACAGACAGGTCAACGAGGCCAAATTTACACCGCAAAGTGGCCCAGAAGCGCTTCTGTCTTTTGCATTTGAAAGCTGTTCAGAAGTGGCATAAATGCATTTCCACAGCAATTACAACCGTTTACCTTGATACTCGGACCTGAGGTCACTGAGGGTCTGGCGTAATTTAGTCCAGCTTTTAGGCCTCTTTACACTGAATTTTGAGCTGGCCTTCACTCAGCTGTACAGACGACTTAAATCAACTAAATCAACACATTTTGAACAAATGAGTTGTGTGTGTCTGTGTGTCATGTTTACCTAACATTTTTAGTACTTTTACCAAAGTCTTAACTTTTAGAGCTTAAATTTACAGTACAAAAACGTTCATAATTCTAATTTTCTTGACAGTTTTTCATATTTGCTAAGACACTAAACCCTATTCTCTGAACCAAATTCTCAATAGCCTAAACCAATTAGTCAAATAAAGCACTCTTTCTGCAAAACCTTAAACAAGTTCAAGTTTAGACACTGTTTGCAGATCTCATGCACTCTTTTTGCAAAACTCTAAACTCATTCTCACTCACTAAAACGCAATGCGTGTGTGCGTGCGAGTGTGTGTGTGTGTGTGCGTGTGTGAGTGTGTGTGTGCGAGTGTGTGTGTGTGTGTGTGTGTGTGTGTGCGTGTGTGTGTGCGTGTGAGTGAGTGAGTGAGTGTGTGTGCGTGTGTGTGTGTGTGAGTGTGTGTGTGAGAGTGTGTGTCCGTGCGTGAGTTCTGTAGTGTGTGTATTATTGATAATGTGTGTGTGATTTAAAGCTTTGTTTGATTTTGAGTGCAGGTGAAATGGTTTTGAAGCGATTGTTTGATTTTGCCAGAAGAGTCTGTGAATTTAGTTTGAAGGTTTGGATTTGTGTTTAAGGTTTTGAGAAAATGAGTGATGGTTTCAAGAAATGTGTTTTAGCAGTTCAGAAAAGCTGTAACTGACATAAATGTTAATTTACCAGCTTTCCCACAAACTGAGGCAAATATTAAAATACAGAAGGTGCAAACAAACCGAAATAATAATTTATAATGGATTATAAGTCTCATATCTTGACATTATCTATTTAAGATCTGTACAGTATTTTGCTATCTTACTGATATTACAATAAATAAAGTTAAAATCAAATGTGCCATATTACACATTCATCTGATCAGATATCTGATCTTACGGCTGTTTAAGAAAAAATATTATTTGTATTTTTTTATTATTATTGTTGTTGTCATTGTTGTTGTTATTATTTATAAGTGGTATTTGTCTGCTTTAAGTAAAGTAACAAGTTAACAATGGCAAGATATGAGACTTATAATACATTATTAACGATGGGAAATATAATCCATTGTAAGTTAAGTGGATGCATTGTGTTCATTGTGTATAAATCATCATACTCTTAAAAGCTATAACCACAAATAAGTAAATATTATAATGCATTAAAACGGTTGAGATGATACAACATATTATAAGGTTTTTTATAATGCATTATGCATTCATTATAATGCCTTAAGAATACTCTTATAATAAATTATAAATACGGGCTTCATAGAAAGTGCTACCAAAAAAGCTAATTCAATGAAAAGCCATCCAATTTAACGTGTCACATTCTAGCGAATGTTCGTTTACAGTTTTTCACTGTAAATTATTAGATGACTTGTTCTTTTTCTTTTTAGTTACTGTTAACCAATTAACATTTTTACCATAGCTGTTACTGTTAAAATTATGATCAGTTTTTACAGTGAAGAATGCGTCTGTGAGTTTTTCAGTCATTCAGATTTACACACAGAATTGCACTTGTGTGTGTGTGTGTGTGTGTGTGTGTGTTTAAGAATGTCTCTAAATGTGTTTATCTGGCATTTCATCTGTAATGTAATTGTGTCATCGTGTGGTCAGCCTCTTTTGAATGCATGTGTGTAAATGTCTGAGGGTTGTTTCTCTGTTTTTGCGGCACATCTTCTAACCTGCAGCAGCAGCTGAACTCATGAACTCAGTACCAGCTCCAGCCAGCAGGAGGCACATGATTATCACGCTTCATTACCTGCGATGGGAGGCCCGACGGTCATGGGGACGGACATCATGCCCAGGAGGAAGCCGATGGCCTGCGACACGTTCTGGGAGCCCACCAGCTCGAATGCAATGGGAGCCATGATGCAGATGAAGCATCCGTCAAACAGACCCATGAGCAGACACACCGAGATGTGGACATTTTGAGTTTCCCCGTAATTTAAAAGGCTTATAAATCATTCAGAATGAGTTTTTTTGAAAATCTAAAAATGCACAAAGTTTCCTGTGAGGGGTAGGTTTAGGGGTAGGGTTGGTGTAGGGCAATAGAAAATACGGTTTGAACAGTATAAAAACCATTACGCCTATGGAGAGTCCTCATAAACCATAAAAACCAACATGTGTGTGTGTGTGTGAGAGTGTGTGTGTGTGTGTCCAGACGGCTGTGACTCAACAGTGTTAATCAGTCTCTCACCTGCAGGAAGACTTTGTTGACTCCCGGGACGTAGTCGGCCACTCTCCCGAAGATCAGACGACCCACTCCAGACGTGATGCCGATACACATGAGCAGAACCTCTTTATTAGCGTCCGCACCGAAACGCTCCTCCACATGTTTCATCTGAGAGAGAGACGGAAGGATCTTAATCACTGATCTCATGTGAGACTGCACTCACACACATACAACATAACATGACACATTCACTTACTTACTTGCTTACAGGGAATAATAGTGTTTTACCCAGACCTGTCCCTTAAAATCTGGAATAAAACTTGTTTTGAAGTCATCTGGTAGCTCTGTGCACTTTCTGTTTATTTGTATAAAGAATAACCACGGTCCTCTTCAGTACTGTCATTACTATCATGTAAATCATGCTAGGGTAACATTTTCCAGAAAGTGTTGTGTTTGTGTCTGCTGTGAATGTGACGTGACAGGAGCACATGGTCTTTACCAATGCAGACCGTGTTAGATATTTAGATATGAGAAGATATTTCGAAGAATGTGGGTAACCAAACAATTTCTGGTCCCCATTGACTTCCATAGTATGGGGGAAAAAAATACTGTTCGGTTTACCCTCATTCTTTTTTTGTGTTCAACAGCTGAAAGACAATAATACAGGTTTGGAACAACGTGAGGGCGAGGAAATGATGAGAGAGTTGTCATTTTTTGGTGAACTATCCCTTTAAGTATTAGTAGGAATACAAAACATTCGTAGCCTTTTTTCTTAAGTTAGAAAATAAGCAGAAAACAGCAGTTAAGAAGAGTTTTATTCTTAAGAACGTCATGAATCCGGCTGCTGGTCTTCATTCCATGTGATGCATGTTTTAACAGACAGAACAGAAAAAGCTTGATTCCTCAGGTCGTCAGAAGCGTCTCTGCCTGAAGAATCAGACAGATATTGTTTGTAACTGAACGCCATTGGTGCTTTTCGGAAGAATCCTGTGTTTCTCAAGCAACCGCCGCTTGTTTGTGTGTGTGTGTGTGTGTGTGTGTGTGTGTGTGTGCATATGTGTGTGTGAGAGAGAGAGTGTGTGTGCATGTGTGTGTGAGAGAGAGTGTGTTGAGGACACACAGGAATTCACTCAGAGCGAACAGACAAGAAAAGGGGCCTGTTTTAGGGACTGTTCTGTTACAACACTCCAAACAGACACATGAACCCGCTTCCTGCACAGCGCTACGTTTGTGTGTGTGTGTGTTTGTGTGAGTGAGTGTGTGCGTGTGAGTCACACACACACACAGACACTCCTTCAGAAACAAAGACGCAAGCAGATCAGATCCAGAGGTGTGCAGTTAGTACAGAAGAGGACGTGGAAACATGAAACATGAAAACACAGGAGCAGATGTAGATGGGATCCTGGGCGTTCGGGTTCCTCCTCCCAAAACACACCAATCTGAGGGCTGGGAGAGGAGCGGCCCACACACGGCCCCACGACAGACACACACACACACACTTACAGAGTTTCACTGCGTAAAAATGAAGAACAACATAACGCCTGGCAGTCTGAACATCATCTGATTGAGTTGATCCATGACCTGTGCTGAACACATGAAGACCTTACAGACAATACACCATCAACTCAAGGACGACTGACAGCCAGGGTCAGTGTGAGAGAGTTTCAGACCTGTGCATGCGTCTTTATGCCTTAAACATTTAGGTTTAGGGCATTTAGAAAAGTAAGTGTTTAAGTAAATGTTATGTTCATATTAACACATGTTCCGAAACCAGAGTCTGGGTCAGACTGGGTCATGATATCCTGCTGGCTAACACAAATGAGGGTTTGTTGAAATTGTAAGAGTGATGGTTTTGGCAGCATCTAATTAAATAAGCAGCAAAATACCAGTTAAATAAACCAGCAGCGCAAGCAATCATTCTTTAGTAAAGTGCATTGGGATTTTTATATATCTGCATTAATTGGTCAAAAAATGTCATCTGATCTTCATCAAAGTCACAAGTATAGACAAACACAATGTGCTAAAGCAAACAACACGCACACAATTATGATCTTTCATGTCTTTATTGAACACATCCCATCAAACATTCACAGTGCTGTGGAAAAAGTAATTGAACTTTACCTTGTTGTCATGACCTGGATGATCCACAACTGTTTTCTTTTTTTTTTGACGACTTTCATGAGTCGATCATGAGTCGTTTGTTTGTCCATGACAGATTATAATTGTTTGTGTGTTATTAGCTTAAGCACAATTTGTCAAAACTTATGGCTTTGTCAAACATTTTATGACTAATTAATACAGAAAACCAACCAATTCCAGTGGGTTCACCACTTTATGAATGTCTAATGACTGTAAATGTAATTTTGAGCTTGTGTCATGTCTTCCCTGACAGTACGTGTGAGTGGAGTTGAAAAATACTCAAACTTTTGGAAACGTCACATGAAAAACGGCAATGGCTGTGACGTGCAGGTAGTGATAATTGTCTTGAGCATTTAAAATACACAGATTGTGCTGGAGTTGGTGTGTAAATCATTGTTTACATATTGCTACATTTCATTCAGTTTTCACATGCATTTGCTTTCATTATGAATAGACTGACTGGCTTTACAAGAGTAAATCAACACTATATCTTTACTTTGGGCATTCAGAAACAAAGCTTCCAACTGCAATAGTGTGTATATATGATGATTATATTAGCTGTGTGCTGAAAACGTGGAGGCGTGGTAGTGTTCTGAGTTGCTTATACTTACGTACACCTTTGCTGTTTTTAAGAAAACAATCTGTTATGAATCAAAAAAACTTCAATGGTTTAGTAATGCACAGTTATGAGAGTCTGTCTGTCACAGATGAGATGTGAAACAAGTCCAAGAAATTTCACAGTGTGTTTGATAAACTGTGCAGATGATGACGTTCATGTGTGACTGCAGGTGAACCACTGACCTTTATCTGCTGGATCACGATCATAAACGAATAAAAGAACGGACTCTGACTGCTAAAAGTGCTCATCTGCATTTCTTGATGCTTCAGCGCATGACTGCTGACCTCAGCAGCTTCAGAAATGCAATATAATGACACTGTCAGCATCTGTGTGTGGGTGAACAGATCACAAGACCAGAGGTTTCCTCCAGCAAACAGTCAGCTACACTTACCTACAAAGAATATATAACGCATCCCAACAAAATGGCTTAGAAAATGAAAGTGAGTGATGAAATGCGGTGAGCTGCGGGACAAGTGAAACTACTGCTCGTCTCTGTGTGTCTGAAAGTCAATGCCAAATTTTCTGAAAATGCTTCCAAGAGGGAGTAGGTAAATGATAAATAATAAAGAGCCCAGAACGGATCCCTGTGGGACACCAGTCATGATATTAGATGACTTAGATCGAAACTGGCTTAGTTGTTCAAACCAAGTATGAACTGTGAGATATGAGGAAGTACCAACAATTCCTATGGATTGCAAACTATCTATTAATATTTTATGCGGAATGTTGCCGATAAATCAAGAAGAATTAATACAGATAAAAGTCCCGAGTCAGCTGCTACCAATAAGTCATTTAAAATCTTAACAATCTCAGTATTATGATGGGAAAGAAAACCAATATATAAATGTAAATAACATGCAATTAAGCATCTGAAAACATCACATTAAGTTCACACTTATAAATACACACTTGTATATCCTTTTAGATCACATTATTTCCATAATAAGTGGAATAATCTGTCACCGATGGAGTTTGGGTTCCTTGCCACTGTCGCCTTTGGGCTTTCTTAGTTGGGGGCACTTAATATTTGGCATTTAAATTGGCAATACTATAAACTTGACTGCACAGACACTATTGGAAGAGAACTGAACTGAGCTGATGATGATAGGACTGAATCAACGATGAACTGACTTTAACTGAAAAATTGTCTGTTTATTGTCCTCTTTTTAGAGCTGCTTTACAGCAGAATTGAAATTTGTTTGCCTTATTGACACACTATTTTCCTGTTTAACAATGTAAAGCTGCTTTGACACAATCTGTATTGTATAAATCTCTATATAAATAAAGGTGACTTGACTTGACTTAAGTGCTCTTCTTAAAACGTTAGCTGTAGTGTGCTTCTTTTACACAAGGGAACAGAAAGCGACCAAAAGACCTTGTGGTTAAAAGATTCCTGACCATTTCTTGTCCTGTCTGCAACCTTACAAAAATAATCAGGAAAAGACACATGCCAGATCTGAGCTTTAGTCAACCACACACGAGCACATCAGATTAATATATCAGAGCTTACATGCTAACAGCCACAACTACTAGAGACTATGTCAACAGAGAATACGTGAAGAAAACCGGTTGAGGTGTTAAACCTGCTGTTGACCTGAAGTGACGTGTGCTGTTCGGAGTGAAGCGGCGATCGCTGTGAGGACTTCACAACAACACCCAAACCCAGTGAGACCATGTGCCCTCTAACCCCGAGGAACATGCTTTTGTTTTGATTTGAACAGTTCAAGTGAGCTCTTCAGCCTCTGGCAGATGACAAAGCCATGCTGAGATGTGTGTTTGTCCACTGCTAACCTCCTCGACCCAGAAAGAGCGGCAGGAAAACATCCAGAGGATTCCCAACGAGAGAACGGCTCTCCACAGATAAACAACCTCTTTCCCTCTCAGTGCTGCCCATCATCCACCCTCTGCAGGGCACCTTAGCCTGAGCAAAACACGTCTGGAGATATTACAATAACAGAGCTGATGTTTATGTAAAGCACAGTCTGCAGCTATGCCCTGCGCTCCTCAGATCAAATTGACCTTTTATTTCAATAAACCTCACAGCATAAACGTCCATCCATGCAGAAGACCAGCATACAGATGAAGGAACCGCACAGATACTCTGCTGACGTGGCTCTCGTGGGCCATCTGAGTAAGGTTCAGTTCATTCACCATCATGGACATTTGAGGCAAATATCAGTCTGCTCCTCACAAAAAGCATAATTTAACTTGAAGCTACAGTCATGTGAACTATATAGGCTTTCTGCAGAAGCTTGCAAGCTCCAGTCCCTGTCAGCGCAATCTTGAGTATTTCACTCCAAATATCTTTTTCATACTTTTGTGCTCTGCAGAAAAAAAGTAAAGGCTAAAATACACTATATGACTTTTAAAATCTGAACAGATTTTAGAACACTAGGCATCACAAACTTACTGACTCGTTCTGAATACAACAAACTCAAAATAGCAAGCATGTTTGCTCTCCCACAACTGGATAGAAGCATTTTCTGTGAAATATGTCAGTTAAAACCTGCAGACTGGCTCCAACTTTTGCTAACTATCATCAACTCGTCCAGACTCTTAATCTGAGCAAAAATCTGTACAAAAGTTGTGTAGTGCAATCCAGCCTTAAAGGAGTAGTTTCACTGGAGCTGGTATAGAATATATATTGAAGATAAAAATGTTTTAAAGATGGATTTGATTCTTCCAAACACACAGCTTTTGTCTTCTCCAGATGTTAACTGATGGACTGGAGTGCTGTGGATTACTTGTGGATTATTGTGATGTTTTTATCAGCTGTTTGGACTCTCATTCTGACGGCACCCATTCACTGCAGAGCATCCATTGCTGAGACACTGATGCAATGCTACATTTCTACAAACCTGATGAAGAAACAAACTCACATACATCTCGGATGGCCTGAGAGTGAGCACATTTTCAGCAAATGCACATACATAATTGTTCCTTTAAGACATACAGGTTTCGAACAGCATGACAGATGGTGAAAGTGCTCACATTTGGGTGAACTATGTATAGCATTTCTGTAAGGACGTTCCTGAGACGAAAACTCATGTTGTGAAATCTAAAGGCCTTTTCACACTGAACACAAAAATTTGGCGCAAATGTTTGGCACGATGATGCTTTTGAATCGAAACAATAGATCCCTATGGGGCTATTCACACGAGGCGTAATCATTCGCGGTGCGAAAAAACAAGGATTTTTTTTCATCATTTGTGTCAATTTTTTCCCCCGTTGCTCTACGAGGAAACAGGCCGTCCAATTAGATTTGAGCTTAGATCACGTGCCCGGAGCAGCTGCTGTTGCACAACTATAGATCACAAACGGAAGTTATTACAAGCACTCGATGATGGTTTAAAGTGGGTTTTAAGCAAAAACATTAATAATCACATACATTTTCAAGTGTAGCTTGATGCTAATTGTACCATTACTTATATTTTAAGATGTATTCTTGTAAGCATTATAGATAGTTTGTGTTTCTGGTGTAGAGCCAAACTATATTTACCTTAATTTAATGCTGTATATTGAGCAGCGGACGATGTTAACGCCATAAACGAGATACATAACTGAGGAAAAATGCATTGTTGGTCGGCGCCACCTAGTGTGCAGGCGTGAATTAGCAGAAGGCGATCAATCGTTTCGCACTCAGTGTGAAAGCTCCGTTCGTCGGTGATTCACCTCGCTTTTTTGGGCTCAGTGTGAAACAGTCTTAAGGCAGAACAGAGAAATTCAGCACACTCACCAGATGAACGTAAGGCACGAAGTATCCGTACAGGGCCGCAGGGATCCCAAAAGCCCATATGCGGTATCCCAGAGACCTCCAGATGTGCATGTTAAACACCCTCTTGAGCGAGGGAAAGCGGCTGCCCGACTTGCTGCTGCTGACGGGTTTGGGCAGCAGGGGTTTGTAGGTGAATCCCGCCAGCATGAGCATGAACATGAAGACGCTCAGCACACGCAGCGTGTAGGCGAGTCCCACGCGCTTCAGCAGGCCGGTCAGCATGTAGGGGAGCGTGATGGTGAATACGCTGCTGCCCGCCGTCACAATGCCGTTCACCAGGCCCAGCCTCCGCTTGAAATAGTGACCCAGGATCACCAGACTCGGCTGATATGCAAAACTGCAGCCACACGCAAAGACTATGCCGTAGGTGAAGTACATTGGCCCGAGAGACCTGCAGAGAATAACGATTGGACTGCGTTAACTTTAAAGGCACATTATAAATCAAATTAAATACTACTAGTAATGCAATTCAAAGCACAATTGTGAAATGTCTCCTGACAGTTTTTGTGCTATCAAAATTCTTTCTCGTCTCTCAGTTTAATGTTGACTGTAAATCAGTGATTAATAGATTGATTCTGCTGAAGAGTGAACCACTGCAACTCCGTGATGCTTTTAAAACATTCATCTATTTCTCTGACCAATGGCTAATAGAAATTATTTTTTTTTTCAGTTCAGTTCTGGTGATGCTAGTGGCGCAAAAATGAAATACGTTAGCTTTAATGTCAGGAGTGTAACCGTATGATTGCTTTGTGTTCAGCTAAACTTCATTTAGAGCTAGTTATGCTCTCCAGTTCAGCAGACTGCAACATGTATTTAGTGCAGTGTATTTAAGTACAGGTATTTGTTTGTTAATCTTCAGTATTTAGAGAAACAATAAACAACAACTTGTCACTGATCGTCTCAAACAGTCATACAAAGTGCGCTAAGTAATCAGATTACTTTTTAATGAAACGAGTACCCAAGTCATTACTGTTGTATTAATTTAATATCCTTACTGATAGTTGAAAGCCTTCAGAAACATCTTGAGAAGAGAAGAGAAGAGAAGAGAAGAGAAGAGAAGAGAAGAGAAGAGGGCCAAGTACAGAGCCTAGTGGGACCCCAGTGTCAGACTAAAGGAGTACAATGTTGTATGTTTCAATTTAATCCATTGAACTTTGGGTTCTTTAGGAACAGGAAAAACAGTGTCTTAAAGGACTGAGTAAGATGAGAAGACATCTCCACAGTCCTTCAAATCATGCGTCAGAATAAAAACATTATATTGTCAGGTGTTCTGGATGATCTCCACATCTATACTCAATCCACTGCTTACAGACAAAACCATTGCTCCCTTTTGACAGCGAACATAAAATCACACAGGAAGGATAGTTGAGTATAAAAACAGATGGGCCACAGCAACTAGAAAGCAATCATTTTATCCAGTTTACAGTCCATTGGCTAAGCACTAGTAAGTACACTCGGTAGTGAAGGATGGTCATTACCACCTATTTCCAGTTGCAGGTAATATAAGCATTAATTGAACTGCTTAGCAAGAAATTAAAAAAAACTCTTTATCTAAAACCTGAGGTGAATATAATGTAAAAAACTCTTTATCTAAAACCTGAGGTGAATATAATGTACTTACGTGACGAAGGAACTGCCCAGAAGTCCCACAAACGCCACCGCTGCCCCTCCAACTGCTGTAATCCGGCAGCCAAACAGATCGGTGAACACACTGACGATTGGTGAGAAGAAGAAGATCATACCCATTGAGAGAGAGCCGACCCATGCTACACACACACACACACACACACACACACACACACACACACAGTTAATTTATTCTTATGTTACAAGAAAAAAAATATGTATGGTAATATACTATTTCCGTGATATGAAATTATTTATATTGTGATATATTCACACTGTGGTATTTTGGTCACACCTCCCATCCCTATAAAACCAGCAGTCTAAGTAAATTAAACTTCCATTAGATACATTTAAATGTGTTTAAATGTGTGTGATAACAAACAACTCATTATATAATGCTGTTTTAAAGATTTACATAAAAAAACAGCAATACAGACCAGATCGAGTCAAATGACAGAGCGCACCAGTATCCATCAATCCAAATAAAACAAGAAAATAATAAAATGGGATGAAGCATTTTTCATTTGTAAAGCAATTCATGCACTGGATTATACAAAATGAGCATTATTATTTCCAGCATGAAATAGCTAACTGTTAAATGATTCATACTGTGCCACTGTATTTCAGCACAGTTCTCACAGGATACTGCATCTGTAATTTATTCTTATCACACAAACAAACATTATTAGAGAGAAAGATCCTACACACAGACACAGAAATGTTAATCTAACACACCACAGACTTACATTATATTTCTGTGGCATGACATACACTGGTTTTACTATAGGACTGAGATTTTTCATTAAACATCAAGGGGAGAGAAAACTGTTGTACAAAAGTTCATTAAATGTCCTTAATCAAGCTTTGAAATGTATTAGCATGAACTGGATCACGTGAGTTTGCAGTAAAAAACAGCCGTGTTTGAGTCTGACACGTGAACCTGACATACATTACCGTCCTTCATGCTGCAGTTTCACAAAGGAAGTCAAAGTGATCATGTGATGATCTGGGTTATGGAGTGAGTCTCTCTCCGACAGAAACACACACACACACACACGTCCATCCAACTTCCCGAAAGAACACCACATATGACACTTATGAAGGCATCCTATTTATTCTACTTTATTTCACCAAACCGATCCTGAATCTGAGTCTGTGTATGAAAAAGCTTTTTTAGGAAATAAATAAATTATATTAATATTTATAATAAGACGAACCAGCTGTGTTTGGCATCACTATCGGACACAGTGTGGTGCAGCTTCATCATGGCCTGTATTTGAATTCATATTAATATCACACAAAATCATCATGAAGACTGGAAAAGAAAGAAAGAAAGAACAAATGAAAGAAAAAAGAGAGCAAAAATGAATAAAGAAACATGCAAAAGAAAGAAGGAACGAGTGAATGGTAAGGAGAAGAACAGAGGGATTGAGTCTGTGACCCTCGAGCTACAGCAGCCTGACATGTGTGACTCTCTCCAGCATCAGCGAGGAGGACCTGAGTGAAACCACGGCGTGTGTCCAGTCTGTAATGATTCCTCACACACTGCAGTGAGTATCAGAGATGCTGGAAACACACTGTTAGCACAGCAAACAAACACACTCCCATCCGTCCGTCCCCGTGAGCCAGTGTCCTGATCAAACACACCGGAGCAGACGGACGACAGACGGATCAAACACACGGCCTGATCGGACTCACTCAGTCTGACTGACTGTGACTAGCGACTATCTGATGTTGCAAAGTTAATGTCGCTATTCATCTGAATTCAGTTCAAGTGCTGTTTTCATCCGATGTTGTATTTACAGTTAAGCAGAAAATATTACTGAATATTAAACCCCAACTACATGCCATCATGAAGTCCAGACTGTACTGCTGCATAAACACTGTTGATTTTAAAGGAATATTCCAGCTGAGACACAAATAAAGCTCTACTGACTTCTGTATCAGCTGAAGCAATTCAATTACTTTAAATTTAACCGAGTCGATTAATTTTAAAAAAATGATGTGAATGACATAGCTGGATTGCAAGAACTGAAAATACAAAGAATACAATTAATTATTACTCTCAAATGAGTAGAAAGACTAAGATGTTTGGCAATAGATCAGGAGTGACTTCTGTTCACACTGGATCTAATAAGGACTGTATGAACATTAACTGAAGTCAGTCCACTTCTCTGACCTCACTTTGATAATACTAGCGAAACGACTGTAAAATTGGTGCTACGCAGCTAGAGAAAACAGACAAAGGGCTTGATGTTCACTTTAGCAACAAGAAAAGTGTTGCCTGTAGCACAATGACAAACAACCCAGTGTTGTTTCAGTATCACTGAGAGATTTCAGTTAACATTGATTTTTAAGTAATGGAAAACTTTTTTCATGGTTTTATGGTTTATTTTTAGTTAACTATAATAACCTTGAAAAAGAACAGACAAACTAAAAACTTTCGTATCACATCTTTAAGGGTTTAATCTTTATTATAAATGTCTGTCATCCTTTCACATATGTGACAAAAGCAGTGTTAAGTCGCTGGGGTATATTTGCAGCAATAGTCAACAATACATTGTATGGGTCAAAATTATCCATTTTTCTTTTATGCCAAAAATCATTAGGATATTAAGTAAAGATCATGTTCCATGAAGATATTTTGTAAATGTCCTACCGTAAATATATCGACGCTTAATTTTTGATTAGTAATATGCATTGCTAAGAACTTCATTTGAACAACTTTAAAGATGATTTTCTCAATATTTAGATTTTTTTGCACCCTCATATTCCAGATTTTCAAATAGTTGTATCTCAGCCAAATATTGTCCTATCCTAACAAACCATACATCAATGGAGATCTCAAGCTTTCAGCTGATGTATACATCTCAATTTCGAAAACTTGACCCTTATGACTGGTTTTGTGCTCCAGGGTCACATATGTGCCCACAAACATCACACAGCACTTACAGCGACTGTGATTAAAGTGAGACACACAGCATCAGTACAGACAGTCACTCGAGTTCTCATCCTTCTCCTTCATAGCGGAGCATGAACACGACCGTATGCAGCGCTTTATCCTCAGACAGTTCATGTTGTGTTGGGTGTTTACTCTGGATCATGGAAACATTAAACTACGGAAGAAAAACCTTCGCTGTCTCCTCACACAGAGTAATGTCCTCCTGTTCCTGAAAACTAGCTTCCTGAGCCACAAATAAGCATCACGCCTCCAAACACTTGACTGCGTGACGTGAAGAGCGGATCGAGATCCATTCCACTTCTTGTTTCTGTGTTGTGTGTGATTAGATCCATCAGCGAGCAACACTCCCGGGACCAAGAGTCAAGAGTTCAGCAGCGGCCGATAAACCAGCTCATCTGCTGCTCTCTGAACGTTACGCAGTGGAAACACAGCATCTCCTGTCTGCTTATTCCAGCTGTCTCGTCAGAGAGGTCTGTAAACGGGACGCCAGTGATTTCTGACAAGAAATGATGCGCTGAGCACACAGGCTCTGGTGAACGTGATTTATATCATTCCAATCAACCAATCAGAATTGAGGGATACGTTTTCAAGAAATGTCAATTTTAGGCTTACAGTCAGGGTTAGATGCTTCTACGCCCTTGTTATTCACCTATCATTTCCCTCTGATTTTAAGAATAAATTATGGGTAGGGTTAGGTTTAGCGGTAGGGACTATATTTTTGGACAGTAATGTTGATCCAGGAACATGTCTTGGCAAAATCACAGCGACCCACAGATAGATATAGATAGATATAAACTGTCTTGTCAAAGTCTGAAATTTATATATATATATTTATATATATATATATCAGGCTCTGGATCAGACTCTCACACAGAGAAACCTGCGCCGGTGTCAGATTCACAAACACTGATATTAATGACCATAAAGCTGAAGATTATCACTCGAGATGATAAGATTGTGGACGTTATCGTAAAGTCCAGAGTGTCGATCTGTATTTATGCTGACAAACATGTGAGTTTTACAGGACAAGGTTCTTCAGTGCTCAATGAAATCAGCCTTATTTCTCCAAAATTCCATTTAATATTTCTCCAAATTCATTTTTTCCATTTCCATTTTCTGGATTCTGTTTTAATTAAACTTTAATAATCAAAAAGCATGTCTCCTCTGATTAATACAATTTTTCATAAACCAAAATGTAAGAATTTATTAAAATGTTACCAGTAATCTATGCTTAGAAATGTGTCTTAATCTTTCAGAAATTCTGTGTTGTCTGTTTTCATGTTTCTGGATTTGATTTAATTTATCACTTAATTCAATCAAAGAAGGTGGTAATCAAATCAATGTATAAAACTTAAAAAATTTAACTCATCTCTTAAAATGCAATCAAATTAAATTTTAACAATTCCTTTTTACTTTATTTTATTTTTTGGTAAAGTGCTGCACAACAGAGACGTGAAGTGTGTGATATTCTTTAAAATACTGTTTTAATAAACTCTATTATTACTATCATTCTTTTGAGAAGGAAATTCTACTGCGGTAAGAATATACAGTAATAGATTTCTGAATTTGATTTGTATGAGTGTATTCTGTGATTGAGTCTGTGTTTGTCACATCACAGAAATCAGAGTGACACAGAGCTCAGGTGAATGTAACGTCAGGAGACTCCACTGGTGAGCGCTTCATACACAGATGAAGCAGCTCTTACACACTATCAATCACAGACGCTCGTCTCTGGCCACTGTGCTGCGTGCGTGTCGTCCAGCACAAGTGTTTTTAAGATGGCGTGCTAAAGTTAAAAATAGTCCCGCTTTTAAAGAGACGTCTGGAGACCCCGTCCCATCTGCTCAGGACTGCTTCAGACTTCAGATCAGCAGCGCTGGGAGGACAATATCAATCACCGCATTCTAATCAATCAATATCCACTCTCAAATCTCAAGATCAATCTTTTTGTCTGTGCTGCTACCGGTTCATACGTAAACTTCACGCAGCATTATTTGTATCGCGCCTCCCATCCAATAATCGCAGTAATCTTTGTGCTTACTTCTGATATTAAACTCAGCTTTCAAAATTCTGTCAACTTCATTATGAAATTCAAAAAATGAATACCATTTTTGACTCTTTAATTTGACCATTTGTTAATAAAAAGAATCGTCTGAATGTTTAAATAGGTTTAACAAGTCTTGACATTAGAGGTTTCACAGGCCTTACAGACAGATCTGTTTAAAATGTCACATACAGACAATTCCACCCAATTCATTATTTTTAACAAAATGAACAGACCAGGGTGGAAGAAGACTTCATTTCCCAGAACTCCTAGAATAACCTGCTCAGTTTCTCTCTGAATTACACAGAGTCGGGTTCTGGAAGTACAAATCCCATTCATTTGTTTTCATACGGTAATTATGAACAATAACTTATAATTAGACTTTTTCCATTTGTTTGCATTATTTCAACTTATTTTGTAAATAATCACGTTTAACAGCAGATCTCCTGGTGTTAAACTACATTACCCATGATTCTGCAGAGAAATCTCCACCAATCACAGAATCGCCAAAAGAACACGTTAGCCCCGCCCACTCCCATCAACCTCTCTCAAACTACTTAAATGTTTGTATGTATAATATGAATTTATTGCAATACATGTAAAACATATCATCTGTCCATATACACACAACACCATTCGCAAAGCTTCATGGGATTGCAGTTCTTTCCCTTAATAAAGCTGTTCAGGTCAAATCTTACACTTTTGTCTGATTTCTTTGCTTTCAAATCAAAGTTTGTAAAAGTTGGTTTTGTTCATGACTTATAATGCTTTAACGAAGACCGTTTTAAAGCCCTATGGGAGAAATGCAGTCTGTATCTTCCTACAGCTTTTCTGTTTGATCAGGTCACATGACTGGGTGGGTGGAAATAGTTTCTGTAGTTTTCACCACAGAATGCGCTCGCAGGAACGATCCTCCTGCAGAAAACAGCCGTCAGATCAATGCTGATTCACTGCTGATAATCAAGGCAGAACTGAGACGAAACAGCACTGACAGAAGAGCACAAGCACATCTGTTTGCACTTACAGAAACATCCAGAGCCGTATAAGTGGAGTTTCTGAAAGTGCTGCTCCTCTGAGAGCATGAAGATAGCTTTACCGCAGCGCTGCTGTTGACTGACACACACACACACACACACACACACACACACTCACACTCACACACACACACACACACACACATAAAGATCACAGAGGCTTTATAGCATAAGCGAATCCTTCCGTTGAGCGTTTCCAGCTCTGAGCCCGGCTCATTACCCAC